CGCCCACCCGTCCATGGAGGAAAGACTTTCAAATAAGTGGATAAACGGCTGTTTACAAGGCAAAGGGTGGGCGGTAGAAATAAACTTTCAGGGCCACATTCTTTGCATTTTAGGGCCCATAGTTATCTCAGAGAGCAGTGAACTCCAAATGCCACTTATTCCACAAATAATTACTGTGTGGGGATGAGGGCTTGTGTACTGGGTGACCCTCCTCCAGGGAAACTCCTCACACTTGCGCCCAGACTCTCCTGGGCTCCCCATAGTCCAGCGCTTCCCCAACAAGTCCTGGTACTGTCCTCGCTGTCAAGCCCATGGGGGACCTTGTGGTGACATTTCACCTCTGATTCTGGTCCCTAGCACAGGGCTGGCATGAGAGGGCCTCAGTCCATTTGTTGAATCAAATTGAAGGGCCTGGCCCACTTTGGTGCAAGATGGGAAAGGCCCCCTTCCAGTAAGAGCAATCTGGAAGGCTTCCCGGAGGTGGTGGCAATGGAGCTGAGCCCGTAAAGATTTCTCTTGCGGAAAGTGAAGAGGGGGTGTAGTCCAGGGAGTGGGGAGGAGGGTGGCCTCTGCTTCCTGTGGAAAAGTAGCCCGGGATAGAAGTGAAAAGGTAGGCTGGGGGCTTAGGGTGAGGGCACTGAGACATTCTAGACAAACAAGCTTTTCTCTAGAATTTCTGAAAGACTCCTAACAAGCTCCCTGTGGGGAAGGTGGCAGCCTGGCTTTGATAAAGACCTGAGTCCCTGCTCACGGAGGAAGCCCAGGAGCATCTCAGAGCAAGAGTCAGCATGGACTGAGGGGAGACTGTGGAATGGCCCCAATGCCCTCAGGTGTCCCCAGCCCGTCCCCTACCCTGTGTCTCTGAAAGGGCTTTGAGTTTGAGGAGAAAGGACTGATGGACACGTCCCCTCCATTACGAGGTTTCTGTGCCTGCAGTGGGAGCCCACGGGACACACAGCCAGAGGGAACCTGGCTTCCTGGGAGTTGGTATCTAGTAGAGGCTTGGGGGCTTCACTTTCTGAAAAGGCCTCCAGGTCAGAGGGGTGCGGCCAGCAGGGCCAGGGGGCTCCCGGGGGGAGCCAGGAGCCCATGGCCCATGAACACTGCTCAGGTGGGATGGACCGGCCCTTCAGTATGGGACTCCGGTGGAAGGGTTTGCTGCCCAAAGTCTGGAAAGTTCTAGGGAATGTAATGCTGGCCAAATTCTGGAGGAGGCCCTCTCCTCTACTCAGCCCACCTCCCCAGGTGGTCTGCCTACCCTGGCGAACCCACCTGACCAGCTCTGGGACATCTCTGTGAATCCCCAGCCCTTGGCATTGAAAGCTCTGTCTTCCCATTAGATTAAACTCCCTGAAAGCCGGGGCCAACGATTAGTCTCAGAACAGTGGTCCTCAACGTGTGGCCCGGGACCCCTTGGGGGTGCTTGAGGTCTCCTCGGGGGTCTGCAAGCTCCAACTGCTTTATACTACTACTCAGATGTGATTTGCCTCTTCACTCCTCCTCCCACGAACATACAGCTGGGTTTTCCGGAGGCTACGTGACACGTGACATCGCAACGGATTAAAATCAGAAGCAGAGAGAAGGGTCCAGTTGTCTCCAATTATGTGAGACAATAAAGAGCTTTGCGAAAACGCGAAACAGCGCCATCTTCTCACTATATCCATTTTTCTTGTTTGAAAGTTTACTCACTTTTCATAAGAAATCGTTCACGGTAACATGGAATGAGGTTTTTTTTATTGTTATTTCTAAGTGAATAAATGCCGTAAATATAAGCAAATGTATGAATCTGGTAGCCCTTTTCCTCAGTTTCCATTTCTAATACAGTAAACAGCAATAGATACAGGTAAACGAAAGCTCTTTGGGGGCCTCAATAACTTTCAAGATTGTAAAGGGGCCCCGAGACCAGCAAGTTTGAGAGCTGCCGCCCAAATTAAGGACAGGACGCCCCTGGCACACGAGCCACCTCCCCTCGTCTCTGCGCCCACAGCAGACGTGACTGGGCGATCGCATGTGCGCTTTCTCCTGCCTGGGGCCCACCCCCGCCAGGGTCAGTGGTGGGCAGGAGCCCGGCCTGGAGCTTGCCCCGGCCCCATCTGTACCTTTTCAAGATAACCAGGGCGTGCATGGTCCAGGGGAGCAGGAGCAGGGCCCGGTTCAGCTGCACGGCCTCCACTGTCCTCCGGGCCACCGTCTCGGGCTTCAGCGGGGGGAAGAGATTGGGGAACCTGCGTGCGAAGAGACACAGTGGGTTTCTCCCGAAGAAGCAGGTGTTGCCGCTCCAACCCTGTGGCCTACGGGGCTGGGCCATCCCTGCAGCGTCTCCTTGAGAAGACCTGCCATCGGGAGACTTGAGACGTGTTCGGAATCTCTGCCACCCCCAAATGTGCCAGATCCTCACTCCCTCGCACGCCCACTGAGTCTCCCTTTGAGAAGCAGCGACTTGCAGCCCAGCCACCGGGGCCCCAACCCTCCCGGGCTCCCCGTGCTCTCTAGAGCCCTGCTCATGCCTCGTGAGGGGTGGGGGGCTGCCTGCCGCCTGGCCCCCTCCCTTCCCTTCTCTGCTCCAACAGTCCTGGCCGATCCTTTGGTCCCTGTCACTTAAGTTCTTGCCCGTCTCAGGGTCTTTAACCAGCCGTCCCATCAGCCTGGCTCTGTCTTCCTCAGGGAGTCATCTCAACACGTCTCCAGTGGCCTTGCATGTTTGTTTCCTTGTGAATGGCCTGTCTCCCCCACCAGACCATGCGCCCCAAAGGGCAGAGGTCTGCTGGGTCTTGCTCCGTGTTGTATCCCCCGTGTGCTGTGTCCGGCACATAACAGGTGCTCAAGAAATGCTTGCTGAACAAATGAACACTTATCCTGTCTGGAGGCAGCAGGTTCCCTCATGCATCGATTTATTGATTCATCGAAACATACAGATACTTTCCGTGGGGCTGTTCCGTGGGACAAATAAATGATTAAATCAGCAAACATCAGGGGCTTCTGTGCCTATTCTCAGGCATCTGACCTGAGACCCATATACTGACGATGCTCCCTGGATGCCAGGCCTGTGCCAGGTGCTCACCCGGAATCAGTCACTCCGACTCACAGAGAAGGAAACTGAGGCTCTGGGCAGTGGGTGAGGGGATGAGGGATCCCAGCCCGGCTTGCACAGCGCCCCAGGCTCTGCCCTGCNCTGCACAGCGCCCCAGGCTCTGCCCCGCCCTCACTCACTGCCCGTCTCACCCCTCGGGCCTGTAGGCGCAGAGCTGATGCCGCTGGCTCCGACCTCAATCCCACAAAGGGCTTGTGAGCTGCTCTGGCACCAGAAGGATTAAGACTGATGAGTCACCTGGGTCTGATGTCACCCAAAGCAAAGGGCAACTCCTGGGCCCCCCACGCTGACTCGGTTGGCCTCCGCCGGAGAGCCCCGGATCTCATCCCCGCCCTGGGCTTCCTCGCTGTCACCATGTGCTGCTAAGATCCCACACCCGGCTGTCTGGAAGGCCAGCTGCCAGGGTCCTGCAGAGGTGAGCGTGTTGAGGCAGCTCACTGGCGTTGGAGCCCTACAGACACAGCGGACAGCCTGCCTTTCCAGTCCTTCCCCGGGCCAGTGCTGCTACTGGGGGAAGGGAGGACATGATACAGACCCAGCTCCAGGGTCCCGGAGGCCCTTCCTGGCAGGACTCCCGCAGGAGGACCTGAGAGATGCCCTGTTCACACCTGCTGGAGAAACTGTCTCCTTTCTCTCCATGGGTGGGATGAGTACACAGGGAACCAGCAGAGCTATTAACTCCCACGGAGGGAGCACAACTCTGGGAGAAGCATGCTCGGCAATGTCATCTGTGTGGCCTTGGGCAAGTCACTTAGCGTCTCTGAGCCTCAGTTCCCTCATCTGTGAAATGGGGATGCAAGCCCAGATCCCTCAGAGGGGAGCCGAGGGCCCAGTGTGGCAGGGTTTCTAAAGCGCCTGGTGTGGCCCGGCTGATGTGGCTCAGTGGCTGAGCGTCAACCCAGGAACCAGGAGGTAGGTCATGGTTTGATTCCCAGTCAGGGTACATGCCCGGATTGCAGGTTCGATCCTTGGTAGGGGGCGAGCAGGAGGCAGCTGATCGATGACTCTCTCTCATCACCGATGTTTCTATCTCTCTGTCCCCCTCTCCCTTCCTCTCTCTGAAATTAATAAAGACATATTTAAAAAAAATAATAAAAGCAATAAAAGCAGCCTACTCCCTTTCTTAAAAACAAAAAGTGTCTGGTGTGTCTGGAACACAGATCAATCAATAGCAGTTAACAAATAACAGCACCCACCTATATGCCACCGCAGCTAGGAAACCCATCGGTTTTGTCCTAAACATCTGTCTGCCACCCTCCACCCTGGGGAGCTGCTAAGCCTGGCTGGGGAGGAAGCCAATGATTTCTTTTTTATTTTTTCGGGAAATGGGATTTGACGAGGCGCTAGTCAACACCAAGCACCCTCTACGGCTCTTCTCCCAAGTCCGCGGGCTGACCTGCCCAACAGGTAACCAACCTTCACCTAGAGCTTACAGACAGCGACTCACACACAGGAGCATCCAACCCATGAAGTAGGGGGACTCTTATCAACCCCTTCTCACAGGTGAGGAAACTGAGGCACAGAGAAGCGCAGTGACTTGCCCAAGGTGACACAGAGCTGGGATTTGGCCCCAAGCAGTTTGGGCCCACACATGGAATGACTGTGGAAAACGACCTGCCCAAAACCTTGAATTTCCTTCCTGGGGGAAAGGAGAGGAAACTGGTGGACTGCAAACTAGACAGAAGGCAAGGTCTGCAAATGTCCTGCCCACTTCTGTGCCCAGGGTGCCAAGGAAAACTGTGACTGCCCCTGCTGCATTTCCACCCAGTAGGCACTTACTGCGCGCTTCCTGTAGGCCCAGGTGAAAAGAAACCAAACCAAGACCTCGGGGGAAAAAGCCAACGCGGAACATTAACAGTCACTAATCCAGCCCTATCTGCATTCAGCATCTGAGGTCATCTGCGTGCAAGTCGGGTGGGAATGCACACTTCTGTGACACTGAAGGTGGGGCCGGCCGGGAGGATTCATAGCAGAGGCATTTAGCAAGATGCTTATTGTTGGTAAAAACGGTAAGAGCCGTGGTTCGTTACTGAACATCGAGTGTGCCCCAGGCTCTGCCCTGTTGCTTTTAATTCTCCCAATAATCCTACGAAGGAAATACTGTTCCCCCCGTTTTACAGGTGAACGAAGTAAAGCTCGGAGGCAATGAGACTGGCTCAGGTTCTCACAGCCGGACAGCAGCAGAGGTGTGATCCCCAAACCCACACTCAGCCATCACCTCGCAGGGGTGCTGAGTGGCTCCCTCCCGGCGCCCACTCCACCAACGCCTATAATTTGCATACAATAAAAGGCACCGACCTGAAGTGTACAGTGTGATTAATTTTTACCTATGTAACCACCGCCCAGATCAAGAAGAGAAAACATCTCTAAAAGCCTAGAAAGTTCCCCTGTGCTCCCCGGCAGGCTCTATCACACCCCCAGGCCCCCAGGCGTGGCCCCCGTTCTGACTTCTGTCACCACGGCCCCGTTCTGCCTGCTGCTCTAGAACTTCTTCCAGGTAGAATCGCACAGAATGCACTCTTGTCTCCGGCTTCTTTTGCTCAACATCATGCTCCTGCGAGCCATCCTCGCGGCTCGGGGACCTGCACTCCGTTCTCTTTTTAAGTGGGTGGCCCTCCACTGCCTGCATCGGCGCCCTGTAACAGCGCCCCGGCCTGAGAAGCAGGGCCCTGAACCCCCCCCCGTGTCCCCCTGTCCTGCAGATGGAGACTCAGGTACCAGACCTCAAAGCCTGCTGGCGGGACCCGGCTGGGGGGGGGCCTGCTCACTGACCTGACCCTCATGCCCTGGAACATCTCGGTGCTGGTATGGAAGGGGAGCACGGTGGTGGCGCTGACGCCCGGACAGTCCAGCAGCCCCAGCGTCAGGCTCNCGGCGGGACCCGGCTGGGGGGGACCCGCTCACTGACCTGACCCTCATGCCCTGGAACATCTCGGTGCTGGTATGGAAGGGGAGCACGGTGGTGGCGCTGACGCCCGGACAGTCCAGCAGCCCCAGCGTCAGGCTCTCCATGAAGGCGAAGGCCGAGGCTTTGGAGGTGCAGTAGTCGATGGCCCCGGGGATGGCCGACAGCGCCAGCACCGAGTTGAGGCACACGATGTGGCCGTTCTGCAGCTCCAGCATGCGCGGCAGGAAGGCCTTGGTGGTCTGAGCGGGGCGGGCGGGGTCAGTGGAGCAGCCGTACCTCCCAGTCCCTCCACCCCCTCCCAGGAGGAACAGGCCACCCCGCACACCCGAGGGCTGCCTGCCCTGCATGCACATAGCCGGGCGTCCGGGCGCCTCCTGGGGCTGACCGTGCCTCATGTCCGGCCACCTTGTCCTTGGCCACCCCCCCGGCCTGAGCCCAAGCCCTGGTGGGCCTCTCCTGCCTCTGTTAAGGCCCCCCCGGCTCCCTGGAGGGAAGGAACATGTCACCGTGACGCCCGGGGCTGGGGCTGGGGCTGGCGCAGAGCGGTCCTTACCCAGAACTGGCCCAGGGTGTTGACGTGCTGGGACTTGAGGAGGGCGTCGTCATCGCTGTCCATGAGGCTCTTCCCGTGGACCACGGCTGCGTTGTTCACAAGGATGGTGATATCCCCCACCTGCGGTGAGAGGGGCCGCAGGTTCCGCTAGGGCAGCCCAGTGGCCTGGCCCCATCCCTCCCCGGGCGTGTGACCCTGGGCAGCCACATGGCCATTCTGAGCACCGGCCTTGACTTGTGAGATGGAGCTCATGACCAGAGTTGTCCTGAGGATTAGGAATAATTTGTGCCGCATAATATACCCAGCATAGAGCCCATTTACCATAAGTGAAGTTATTGTTACTTAAAAATTTAACATTTACCATGTGCCAGATACTAAATGGGGTGGTTTTGGCTCTCTTGGAGCTCACTGGTACACTCAGGGGAAAGAGATGGCTGGAGTCAGCAGAGGATTTTCCCAGAGGGCACCAGGACATTTGTCCCCCAAGGTCCAGGACAGAAACTCACAAGGTCTAAATTCCAAAGGGGACAAGAGAGGACTACTCCTGTCATATGATCAACCCATACCCCTAGCCCCTTCCCCTGCAACACACACATGCATGCGCATCCATGCACACACATGGGGCCAGCTTCGTGGGAGTCCCCGGAGATGCCCTGGAAGCAGCCATCCTGCCATCGCAATGCTGCGTCCCAGGCCACAGGGGAACGTTCTCCTTGGCTAGCGCTCTCTGCGTCCCGCTGAGCTGAGGACAACCCTCCCAGGCTATTTATTACCTTCTCCCGGACAGCTTTGGCCGTCTGGTACACCTCCTCCCGGTTGCCCACGTCGCAGATGAAGTAGTGGCACTCGGTGCCCATCTGCCGAATCTCCTCGGTCGTCTCCTTCAGGCATTTCTCAGTCCGGCCCCAGAGGACAATCTGTAAAGCGAAGATAACAGACAGAACAGGGAGTCACTAAGCAAGCCGTCGAGACTCAGTGACCGCCACCAGAAATTCAGTATTTAACGCCATCTGCCCGAGGACCGGCCTCCCTGAGTCCCTCCGAGGAGAGCACAGGAAGCAAACTAACGCGATGACCTTTTTAAAGGATCCAGCCGGCTCTGAAGCGCGCGGGTAGGTTCTGAGCCCATTTCTGACCTCGACCCATTGACGTGTTATTTTCAAGCCCCAGACACTCCTCCCAGCCGGTCCCCTCCTGCCAGCCCAGTTCCAGTCACCCTACACAGTTAGAAGCAATAGCAGCGCTCTCTCTGCAGAATGTTCCAGAATGTCCTCAGTTGGGAACAAACTGGCCTTCCCAGCAGGTAGGTCTGGAGCCAGGTTCATGAGCCAGCAGCGAGATCGCACCGGGAGGTTCCGGCCACGAGGCGCCTGGGCCAAGCCGAGCCGTCACCTGGCTGTGGTCACACTTGGTCACACTCGGAAGGAGGGCCAGGAACAGAGGCAGCCAGGCTCCCGCTGAGAAGGAAACGGCCTCCCCACCCCCACCGGGACTCATCATGCCAGGAGGTGACCCCGGGAGGACCAGAAAATGGATTCGTAAAGGGGTAGGACGAATTTACGAACGGCCGGCCACAAAGGCTCAGCAGAGGGGCCTGGCTGTTTCTCAGCCTTGACCTGAGCGAGGACACACCTCCCACAACCTGTGCTCGGGTCCGAGAGGCCCCTGTGGTGAAAGGGTCGCGGGCAGGGGGACTGAGCCCTAAGACGCAGCTTCATCAGCACAGACGGAGGAAAGGCCGGGGCTGGGGACAGTCGGAGAAAGGAAGGCTCCTTGGGGATTAGTCTAACCGTTTCTATTTTTGTTTCTTCCCTTGCATTTTAAAATTATCGACGAAACGCGCCCTTTAAAGATAAAGCCCAACGTGCAAACCCCAATGGGTGAAGCCAGCACAAGGACTCCAGTGCACGCCCGAGCCCGCAGTTTCTTATTCTAAACGCAACTGGAGAGGGTGGGGGGGCCGCGTCGGGAAGGCGGGTACTTTCAAGTGGGGGCTACAGACGGAGTGCCAGTCATGTCGGACCAGAGCCCAGTGGATTTCTGTACGATGCTTTGCGACACAGGATAAAGAAAAGTCACACCGATAAGCAGCTGCCGGTAGGGACAGTTTATCAGCTGTTTACCTTGAAATCTCAGAACTTCCACTTGAGCAAAAAGGGTCTGGAATAGGTGTCGCTGGGGGACACACAAAGGGGCTGTTGGTCTCCAATGAATTTGATTTAAAAAAAAAAAAAAAATCTTTATTGATTTCAAAGAGAGGGAGAGAGGGAGAGAGGGAGATAGAAACATCAATGATGAGAGAGTCATGGATCGGCTGCCTCCTGCACGCCCCCGACTGGGGATCGAGCCCGCAACCTGGGCATGTGCCCTGACTGGGAATCGAACCCCGATCGCCTGGATCCTAGGCTGACGCTCAACCGTGGAGCCACGCCTGGCTGGGCTTGATTTTTTTATTAGGGTTTTTAAAACTTTTGAAATAGTTTTTAAAAGAAAATAAAAGTGTTTTCTCAACCGCTAAAACATCTTTGGGAAAGCCCAGTTTGAAAACCCAACCTTGTCCAACCACCTTAATTAAAGACTTTAAATAAAGTCTTCTTTTTTTCATTTATTGATTTTACAGAGAGAAAGGAAAGGAGAGAGAGAGGAAGGGAGAGAGATCTCCTGTTCCACTTACTTATGCCTTCATTGGTTGACTCCTGTATATGCCCTGATGGGATCGGACCCGGGACCCTGGAGTATCAGGACGACACTCTAACCAACTGAGTAACCCGGCTGGGGCTTAACTGAGGTCTTGGCACACAGGACGGGATTGTGAGGGAGGACTCCATCGGTGGCTCTCCTCAACCCAAAAGTCCATCAACGACAAACGGACTGCAATTAGACAGGCTCCAAGGGACACTTTTTTGTCTGTTGAACTAAAAACAGACGTAGCATGTGCTCCTCCAGGAGAGGCTGGGGAGAGTCCCTTCATGGAGATCAGACACAAACTTCTGTTCTAGGAAGGCAGTTGGGTGTCGGCATGCTCCACTCCACCAGACTCGCCCTCGCCTCATAGTCACGTCACCCAAGTCTCCTTCCATCCTTCCTTGTCACCCCATCCATCCATCCATCCATCCATCCATCCATCCATCCATCCACCATCCATCATCCATCCATCCATCCATCCATCCATCCATCCACCATCCATCCATCCATCCATCCATCCATCCATCCATCCATCATCCATCCATCCTTCTACCCACCCCACCATCCATCCATCATCCATCCATCCATCCATCCATCCATCCATCCATCCATCCATCCATCATCCATCCATCCACCATCCATCCATCATCCATCCATTCATCCATCCATCCATCCATCCATCCGTCCATCCATCATCCATCCATCCTTCTACCCACCCCGCCATCCATCCATCCACCCATCCATCCATCCATCCATCCATCCATCCATCCATCCATCCATCCATCCATCTTCTGAGTATGTCCGAGTGAGCTGAAGGTAATCCTTGGCCTCCATTCTCCTGCTCTGGTCCCTGCCTAACCTCATCGCACCTCCAGCTCATATGGGAAACAGGACCCTGGGGCTTGCATGGTGCCCTAGGGTCTGGTGATGCAGGGAGAGGTGCCTCTGGGGACTCTGAGGATTTCTGGACAAGTTGACAGAGAGGGGAAGCTTCAAGTGGGGGACTTGTTGGAAGGTGCAGGGGTCCAGATGCCTGGAAGCACAGTGGTCACCTCAGAGGGTCTGGGGCAGCAGCCCAGTGCCCTTCATTCTGGGAACCCTATTTGTTCTCAGCACAAAGCAGTGTGCATGGGGTTCCAGCACAAAGGGCACCGAGGGCCCAGAGGCTGCTGGGCCAGATGAACTCTTCCTGGACCCCCAGTTCTCAGGTATGGCAAGAAGGGGAGGGTCTAATGCCCAGTGTGGTCTGTCCAGGGAACTGGCAGTCAGGAGCCCTGGGATGCCAGCCGTGTCCACATGACTAGAGAGAAAAGCTGGAGATGCGCACAGGGCTGGGGTAAGGGAGGTGCAGTGAAGGCTGTGCCCCAAGCCTTCCATGGGTGGGGATGCCTCCACGGGGGCAGGCCTGAGGCTTGGCCATTTCCCTTCGAGGTTCTATGGAGGACCCCCTGGTGGCTGGGGGACTGGCCTCCTCCTGCCTGTGCTCAGAGCCCCACTTCTCCCCAGGCTCTGTGACAGCTTTGCTTTCTGCCCCCCTCACCCCAACCCTACTGGGCTGGGGGCCCCAAGGCCCTTGGTTCTGGATTGTTTGTTTTCGCTTCCTCATGCCCAGTACAGCCCGTGTTGTTTGTTGAGTGAGCGAATGAATGTTCAGGATTCCAGGTGGGATGGGATGGGGTGGGATGTGGTTAAACGGCTTCTGTGAGGCTGAGACTGTCCCATCTTTCTTGACTGAGTCCTTTAGGGTCTCAGAACCCTCCACACAGAGTCTACTTAGACCCCGAGCCAGCAGGACCCGGGATTTTCCCAGAGCCTCGAAACCACCTGGGGCTGAGCTTCGAGGTCAGGAGCCAGGTCACAGGCTGGACCCTTGAAGCAGGGCACGGGGTTCATCTCAGATGAAAACAAAGTTCAGAGGGGTATGTATGTGCCTCACCATGTGTCCCCAGGTGTGTGTGTCTGTATGTGTCTCCGTGTCTCTGTGTCTCTCTGCATCCGTGAGTGTGTGTGTGTGCAGCCTTTCACACCTCTCTGCACTTCCTCAGGCCCTTGGTGGATGCTCAGTCCCCGAGAGCCATACTGGGCATGTCCCCGTCTTAGGCCCCAGGTGCATCTCCATGGCGATGGCATGGTCAGTGGCTGGTCCACTGGGGGTAGGTGAGGGAGAGAGGTGAGTGGAGAAAATGGCTTGGGCAGCTGTAGCCACCGTCTCTTCCTGGCCTCTCTTCTTCCTCCAGTCCTCTGCCCAGGCCCCTCTGGGGACCCAGAGTCATGGATCAGGAAACTGGCTGGTACAGCTCAGCAGGCCCACCAGGTGGCCCCTGCCCAGAGTCAACCTGGTGTTGACCCTGGACAGCTGGCAGGAGAGGAGGCCCACTCAGTGCCAGATGCGGGCAAGGACCAGGGGGCAGGAGGCGGGGGTCTCAGAGGATTGTGGGGGAGGCAGGCTGGGGAGGGGGCAGATTTATGAGCCCTTGGAACCCAATACGGCCTCCTCTTAATTAACTCCCACAACAGGGAGCAGCTGGGGAGGGTCAGTGGCCCAGGATTTACTCTTAAGCTGGGTTTATAAAATAAGGGCTCAGGGTAGCTCAACACCTCCTGGCCTCCCCTCCCCTCTGGGGCAAGCAGTTAGCTTCTGTCCTGCGCCTGTGACTGGCAAGGAGGAGGTAAGAGGACAAAGACCTGTGGCCTCCTGGGGGTGATGGGCCCACACTGGCCACGGCCAGAGCCTCCTAGCAAAGGCCTGGTTCTTGCCCTTCCCGCCCAGAGGTGAGGGCAGCTGGGACCCTGCACAGCCCCAAAGTCGAAGGCCGTCATTGCCCACTTTCTATAGGATATAAAGGCCCTAAGCCACACTCAGTGGGTGGCGGAGGCAGGATTCAAACCCAGAGTCTTTGTCTTCCACACAAGCACCCCTGAATCTTGAGGCACAGTGGGTGTTCTGAGCTGTTAGACTTCTGACCCAACTGTCCCGTGTCCTCAAACCGGCGCTCACTCCCACCCCATCCTTCTCGAGCTCTGTCTCGCTCTCCTTTCATGATGACTTTCTGTCTGCTCGCCAGGACCACTGGGAGGACCAGCTCTGGGCCGGGCACCGGGCCTGGTGCTGGGGAGCCAGCAGAGAACAAGAGACATGGTCCCTGTCCCCGGGAGCCCCCTGTCTCTGGGAGCCCACGTTCTGGTGGAGGGAGACCCAAAGGAAGGAGAGAACCGTCGAGGATAAATTACC